AAAAATACAGAAGTAAACAATCAATATGGGAGGGGAAGCATGTTGTGAGTGAGATAACAATTCCAAATAGAAAGACATCAAGTAATGGAAGAAACAACATAACTCGGATATCAACAAAGAATCAAAAATCAACAAATGCACGGCATCACTCTTCGTGTTTTTACCCTGGTCCTCGCAAAAGCAAGTATATAATAAAAGTGTGTACGGCATCACCCTTCGTGCTTTTACTCTCTTTCCTCACCATATAATCAATAAAATCGGCACGGAATGGTATATCGTGTGGTACGGCATCACCCTTCGTGTTTTACATTCTTCCCTCACAAAACAAACAATGTGCGACATCACCCTTCGTACTTTAACACTCTTCCTCACCCAAACAACAATCACAAACAATGGGGCAAGGGAGTAAACAAGATTATAATAGGAATCTCGGCAAGGGAACAACAATTTAACAATTAAGTCCCGACAAGGGAGTAACATCAATAATATCAACATCCCGGCAAGAGAGATAACCAATAAAGTGACAATATCCCGGTAAGGGAACAATTTAATGACTTCTTTCTCTTAATCAATTTTACTTCACAACTCACTTTACCACCTGAGCCAATGATCCAAAGGGGTTCAATCAACTCATATACTTTCACAATTAGTAATATAACTTGAGCCAATGCTCCTAGATGTTCAAAGGTCACAATTCCTTCCACAAATTTTTCACAACAAATAGAAATCACCTTTAAAGCATGGATAATACAACGAAATCATGAAAATCACAATAAAAGACTCACGAGCATGCTTGACACCAACGTATAGATACTCGTCACCATGCCTATACGTTGTACTCAACAATTACCACATAGAAAATAGGACTCAACTCTTAATCCCTCAAGCTAAGGTTAGACCAAACACTTACCTCAAAGCTACGAGCACAATCGAGCTTCAACTACTACTTTACCCCTTGGTTCCACTTCCAACTCGCTTGTATCTAGCCACAATTTACTTAATTACATTAATAAACGCTAAATGAATCAACTCCAATGCATGAAAATGAGTTTTCCAAAGTTTTACCCAAAAGTCAAAAATCGCCCCCGGGCCCACATGGTCAAAACCCGAGGTTTGAACCAAAACCCGATTACCCATTCCCCCACGAACCCAAATATATAATTTGTTTTAAAATCGGACCTCAAATCGAGGTCCAATTCCCCAATTTTTGAAAAACCTAGGTTCTACCCAAAACACCCAATTTCCCCCGTGAAAATCATTGGTTTTTGAGTTGAAATCATGTGAAAAGATGTTATTGATTGAAGAAAACTAGTTAGAAATCGCTTACCAATGTTTTGGAGAAGAAAGGTTGTTTGAAAAATCGTCTCTTATGTTTTTGGGGTTTTGAAAAATGAAAATTAACTGAAAATCCCGTTTAAATATACTACTCTCAGATTCCCGGTGCGGACCGCACAAAATCAACTGCGGTCGCACAGCACTCTATGTGGACTGCAGTGACATGCTTTAGTATTTTGACCATAACTTTTTCTACAGATGTCCAAATTGTGATTTCTTTAACTTCTAGAAACTAGACACAAAGGGCTACAATTTTTGTTTTAGAATCATTTCAAAATTCCTTGTAGATCAAAAGATATAAGCTTCCGAAGTCGGACCAGTGAAATATTTCTTCACCGCAAACCGCACAAAAACCCAATGCGGCCGTAGAGCCCTCACCGCGGTCCGCACAAAATCCAGTGCGGCCGTACAGGCCCCTCCGCGGTAGCACTCCATTTTGTACGGACCGCACTGATTTATTCAGAGGCCTTCCAGTTCTCTGAACCTGCAACAACTATGTTTTTAAGCCTAAGACATCCCGGAACCTACCCGAAACTCACCCGAGCTGTCGGAACTCCAAACTAAGTGTGCATACTAACTCAAAGACATCATATGGACCTACTCGTGTACTCAAATCACCAAAAATAACATCATGAACATCGAATTAGACCTCAAGATCAATGAAATTTCTCAAAACTCCTTTAAACATCAAATTTGCATTTAAGGTCCGAATCACGTCAAACGGATTCCGTTTCTTACCAAACTTCACAGAATTATCTTAAATCATATATAAGACCTGTACCGGGCACCGGAACCAAAATACGGGCCCGATACCAACATGTTCTAATCAAAATTCATTTCCAAAACCTTTAAACAATTTTAGAAAATAATTTTCTTTAAAAAATTCATTTCTCGGGCTTGGGACCTCGGAATTCGATTCCGGAAATACGCCCAAGTCCCATATTTTCCTACGGACCCTCCGGGGCCGTCAAATTATGGGTCCGGGTCCGTTTACCCAAAACGTTGACCGAAATCAAATTAATTCATTTTATAGTCAAAATTTATCATTTTTCACAAATTTATACATTTAGGCTTTCCGGCTACGCGCCCGGACTGCGCACGCAAATCGAGGTGATTCTAAGAGAGGTTTTTAAGGCCTCGAAACATGAAAATTTCATTTAGGGTCATCACAAATGAGGAGGTAAGTAGAACAGTTCAAATGAATTATACTGTAATATGCTTTTGGCAAAATAAAGAGCTGGAAAGTATCGAACTGTAAGAGTCTAGATTCGAACTCCAGACCTCACCTACTCCTAGACCCACTTGAACCAACTCGACCAACTATTGTTTCTGTCAAGTGGGTTCAACTCAATATACTTATCCGATATTGTGTTGTTTAAGAAAATATTTTCCACATAAAATAATGATTTTTTTTTTGCGAAGCGGGTTCAATTGAACCCGCTTGAATCAATGTGGGTCCGCCCCTGCCTCCACCCCTACCCCCTGAGCTCCCTCGGGTCCGTGCAGAGGCAGATCCAGGAATTTAATGCGACGAGGGCATAATATTTTGTTCAATTAGTGCCTCCTAAAGTCTTTTAGCGTTAACGATGTCAAATGATTTAAATTAACCATTTTCAAGATATACATATATATATACAAGATTTCTGCCAAAATTTACGGGGTCCGGTGACCCCTCAACATAAGTCATAGGTCTGCCCTTGGGCCATGACAACATAAGTCATAGGTCTGTCTCTGGGTCCATGGCCCTTACCCTATATTAAAGAGATATCTTGTTTAAAATGTGCATTTCCAACGTAATATATTACAGTGTACTGGATCCTCGGCTTAAGCCTTAACCACACATCAAATTTCCAACATACATAGATTAGTAGTGTACTGGATCCTCGGCTTAAGCCTTAACCACACATCAAATTTCCAACATACATAGATTAGTAGTGTACTGGATCCTCGGCTTAAGCCTTAACCACACATCAAATTTCCAACATACATAGATTAGTAGTGTACTGGATCCTCGGCTTAAGCCTTAACCACACATCAAATTTCCAACATACATAGATCGTCCAAACTGTGGGAACAATGGGAAGAAAGGAGAGTAGCAGCTATACATCGTGGAGTATTTAACAAAAGATATATTCCCATAATATTTTGACCTACACAATTGAGCTGTTTTTGTTTTCTAATTACGACAAGATAGTCCATCTTTCAATTATTTTGCTATTCATTGACAAACTTCTTATTCTTTTACAGTAGTTTCGAGTTTTGACCCTCTAGTTACCAACCAAGAACAAATCCGACTTGATCATTATCAGAAAAGAGATCAGTTAGTTTCAATGGTGTTATAAAGTATTCTTTGGATCTGATTAATTATTAATGGCTATGAGGCCTGCCAGTGGCGAACCTAGGATTTTGTGCAAGCGAGTTCAGTCGAAGAAGTCAATAACTAACATAAGCGGTATAAGCCGTATAAGTGGGTTCAAAAATAATTTTTATACAAAATTTACCTTGCTTTAGCCATAATTTATACATATATACAGTATTATTTTTTAACGAAGCGGGTTCAATTGAACCCACTTCTCACCACTTAGGTCCACCCCTGAGGCCTGCACTGTGTTGAAGACAATCTTTTCATGAGCACATTCTTATAAGACCTATATGAGTGCATTTCTAAATCTTACTTTTTCTACTCCCAGACGAATTAAAGACATAGTTGAAGACAGTTTGATTGGCGTGGGGACAAAGGTTCACATGTAAGTCAATGATCTCTCACATCATCTATTATCATAAAAAGTTTAGCTCTAAATTGTTTAATGTAAAGTGAATTAGGTACTTTGTTAGTTTCTTAGTGGGTGGACATAAAAATTGTAAACTCCTAAAAAAGCGAAAACTTTTTTTAGGTGAAAATGATATTTGAATATTAGAGTTGTGTTTGAACGTGATTATAATTTTGGATTGTTTTTGAATTTTTGTGAGTGATTTGAGTGAAAATTTTGAAATGCAACTTTTTGGAGTTTTTCATATTTTTGAAAAAATCCAAAATTCATCTTCAAGTGAAAATTGAAAATTTTATGACCAATACTGATTTGAAAAAAAAAATTAAAAAAAGAAAAAAATGAAAAAAATTCATGGCCAAACGGGCTCTTAGTCTCTCAGGTAGATTTCGTTTAGTAGTAGCTCTTATCTCTTGAAATGGAATCTATCATTAGTTTTGTGTTCCATTATGGCAAAACGCACTAAAACCCCCCAAACTATTAATTATTCACACTTATAACCAAATTAAAAGCATTGGAACTCCAATTTTTAGTACAACAGGTTTATAAGTTACTGTTTCTTTGTTTAACTAACCACAATTTACATTTACTAGTACACGTTTGAGGATAACGTAAACCAAGGTATAAGTTTTCCCTGCCGACACGGTATGTTGCTCAACTAGGAAGACTTAATAAAATGAAATTCCAATCGAATCAGAAGCAGAATCTCTTGATGCAAAATGAGTTCTAGAAGTAATTCACCAATGGTTCAACCTTAATCTGTTTCGTCCTAAAATATAATTGTCTGCAGGCTTCACTTCTTGACCTCACAAAGAAGAGCACTCATCAACATTCCCTCAAGGTACAGCTCCCATGGTCCATCTCAGAAATAAATATACCAACAGAGTAATGAAAGGATTTAAGAGATTGTAGAGGATATTCTGGAAGATATTACCATCTATCCAAAAGAGACTATTTGCTTTTAAAACACTACAAAAGATCATAATCCAGCACTAAACAGAGGTACAACAAACACTCATGGATCACTGAACAATGAGTAACTGGACCGATCCATATTATAGCGGCCATCTGAGGATCACTCAACTTTCCAGCTCTCTCTAGGGCAAGACACATCTAGACCACAGAGTTAAAAATTCTACATCGAATGGTTCTTACTTCTTAGATTACAAGGGAGCAGGAGCGGAAGTCACTAATACTGCCAATACAATGAATTTAAGAACTCAAGACCTGATCAAATGAAATCCAACATGGGGCAATCATCTTCTTACAGGGGGCACAACACCCCGACCAGGTGCTGCTCCACGACCTGCAGCCTGAGCCTGCAAACAAGATGTTTATAATCAGGTACATTTCTTCAGTAGAAGAATTACAATTCTTGAGCCAGCTAAAACACAACAAATTCCTCATAACATCATCCTCTCTTTTTTCTTGTTAAAAAGCAAATCTTCATCACATCCTCTCCACTCCCCTTCCACGCAAAAGAGAATCCCAAAAATCTTCTGGGGTAAAGGATCAAAATATACAACTCACAACCTAGAGCAACCAGCAAGGGGCACGTTATATTTTAGTGAAATAAGGGGGGGAAGAAGCACAAGTGACAGTTGACAGCTTTCTTAAATTGGATGAAGCTACAGATAAAAAAGATAAACTTCCTGTAAGAAGCAAAACTAAGGAACACAGGAGAAGTAAATCAATCAATCCCCTTTTTTTCCCCAAAAATCTTTCCCTTTCTTTGAAACAAACTTCATATTGGCTCCACCATTTTGCAAAGTCAAACAAAGTTACTGCATATGCCTAAATTATACATGAAATTGTATGTAGCAAAAGTTCTGCTTAGTAGTTGGCATCAAACTGAAAAAGCAAGTAGAAGGAAGAGATAGAAGCAACACTCACTTTAGCTCGCATTGCAATAGCACGTCCCCGTCCAACACCAAGTGATGTACCTTTGCCCTTCAAAAGTGAAATAAAAAATAAGCAAATCACTTAAAAGAAAACAAGGATAAACCGAACCAAAGACAAATGCAACAGCAAATTACCTTAATTCTAGCTTCTAGACGCTTGAACATGGGGGCATTTTTAAGCATATCAGGGATTATCATGAACCTGGTAGAAATTCAAGTTCAGTATATGCTCTTACCAGGAAACAGCATAAAATCATGCAAAAGGAATCTGTATACCTGACTTTACTGCCTCTAATAAAAACATGCTCCAGTTGTGACACCCGTCCATCCTGCATTGATCAAAATTAGAAACTAATGTCATATTTTAGAAGAAAAACCCCTTGTAGATCTATAAAAAAATGTTAAATTTCTTTTTCTCTGAGTAACTGGAGAAAGAACCAAATATTGCAGCTTATGAGGTGAATCATTCATCCAACACCAAACACGCAGCAGTTGATGCAAAACAAGACTTCCTAGTATTTCGCTAGATCAGTTTCTTTCTTATTTTTCTATAGCAAACCTTCTCCACTATACCAAGGCATATCATTAACTACCCTAGGAGTGTCAATGCAAGGACTGAAAACATCACTTTATTTTAAAGGCGGAATACATACGGAGACACCTAAAGTTGGCACCATTTTTCATTTAGACACTTAAACTCGGGCTAATACCTATTGAACACTTAAACTCCTTCAAAAGTGTACCAATTAGACACCTTTAGCTGACATGGCAAAATGTGTGTTCTCCACTCTCTTTGAGCGCGTCCACTACTAAAAAAAATTAATTCTTTTTTTTTTCCTGTCGCTTTCTCTTGTTTTTTTCCTTTTTACTCTGGTTTTCCTTGAAAAGGACTACCTTGCCGGAAACTTTCACGGTTGGCAGCAAGCCCACATCTTCTCCACCAGAACATCACCACCAAGAAGTTAACTTCCAAAAAATCTCATTTGGTTTCTCCAATCTCCATTCAGCTCCAACAGCATCATAATCAACTGCAATTTTCGTTGCATGATAATAGAAATGCTTGCTTAAACCGGTAAATCAGAAAATTTTGGGTGAGATTTTTAATGTAACCGAAGAATAAGCAAATCAGGACAACTAAGTTGGAAAGCATCGCTAGTGGGTGCAATCGAAGGGCCTTAATTGGTAACAAACAGCATATGAGCTTCACCAGATTTTGTTTTTTACCATTAATGGAGTTTCCTTTTGGGTCAGATGTGATTGTACAAAATCTTTTCTATATCAATTATATTCCTCAATTTCTGCTCAAGAATCCCATTTTAACACCGGAGGCAACTGATTTTTAAGGACTTTAAGAAAAATTTACAGAGAAATTGAAAGAAAATATCGGGAGAGAGAAAAGAGATTTGGTTTGGGGGAGGGGTGTTGAGGAAGACGGCTTTTTGTTCTTCTTTTTCCTCGTACTTCTTTTTTCCTTATTATTTGGAATAAAAAATTGACACGCCATTGTCTCATTGGTTGTTTTGCCAGGTCGGCCGCGTGTAAAATGCACGCGTTTCATATTTTGGATGTGTCAGCTAAATGTGTTTAATTGGTACACTTTTAAAGGAGTTTAGGTGTTCAATAGGTATTAGCCCGTGTTTAAGTGTCTAAATGAAGAATGGTACCAACTTTAGGTGTCTCCGTATGTATTCCGCCTATTTTAAAAGATTGACTAAGATTTGGATGCTTTATCTAATTCATATTGATTCTTTTTTTTCCCAATGACAATACAAAGATAGCCTCTTAAAGTTGTCACCATCGATTAGTTAAACACTTTAACTTTCAAAGTGATAGATAGACACTTCTAGTAGTTAGAATTGTTCCTTGTAAACATTTGAGTCCACAAGATAACCTGCATAAAACTCACATTGGTTACAACCAAATAAACCAAAGGCATAGCGACACATGTAAACTAGAAAAATAAATTGACACCTATTTTTTTTTTGATAAGGTAATTAATCAATAAATTCACACCTATTAAAAAATAAATATTATAATTGAAAAACCCAAAAAACAATAAAAACTAACCCCACCACCTTTTCTTCTTTCCACCCACCCCCGTCTCTTTTTCTCTCCATCGCTAGGCAGAATGAAACATTCTTGACCNCTTCTACAAATACAACCAGTGGCCAATAAAACGATCATCAACAAGAGGAAACACTTCATAAACAAATAGAGTATGAAATTCTGAAATTTAAAGCAAAAGTATTCTAAGGATTTGTAACCAGTTTTCATGTCAGAGGGTGTGGATGGGGTTTTCGGGTGGAGTTGTGGCCTGAGGTTCATCCGTTTATAGAGGTGGGAATGTGAGAGTTTTTATGGGTGGTCAACGAATTAGTGCTGACGTATTTTGTGTCAAAATTGAAGTGGCAGAATGGCGGCAGAAAGAGTAGGAGTCACTGATGTTTGCGTGAGGAAGATTCGTTCGTGGAGATGAATTCTTTGGGAGAGAAGGTGGAAATATTTTGGATAAAAAAGGAAAACACGGTGTGGGCCACACATAAAATATATTTAAGCTTAAAAAAAAGTCCTCATGCACTCAATTATTAGTGAGACACAACTAATTTGCCATGTCAGCACAAGGTGTTTAAAAGATACATTTGGTATAAAGAGGTGTTTATGTGGCCACTAGAAAAGTTAAAAGTGTTTAACTGATCGTTAGTGACACTTAAGAGGCTATCTATGTGTTTCGCCTTAAAAAGTTTATCAAGGACAGGGGCAGCAGTGTAGGACCAACTTGGTTTTTGCCCTGTTCTGCTAATCCACTGCATAGTAAGTTGCACCTACAACAAAAAAGGAAGTGAAGAAACCAACAAAGGGGGAACTTGAGAAACAAAAACATGGGCAGCACTTCTACTACCAGCAATACACACTTGATCTAATAGAACATCAGAAAGCTAAAAAAATTAGACATTGGAAGCAAGGAGTTTGTTTGGTTTATCACTATATTGAAATATTTTCTATTTCCATTCATCACAAAAGGTGTGGTCTTTCTATCCTTTTACATTGTAGTTACTGGTAAAGGTGTTTGGTATACGAAAATGAAAATATGTCTCTTGCGAATCTCCAATCATCTTCCATTAGCTAACCAGAATAGATTTCTCCAGTTCATAATTTGGGAACAAGAAAATAATCAACCTTTCTGATGAAAGTGATCGAAACCACTTAATATGCAAACAAAAGCAGAGCGACAGAACCTTCGGGTGAGTTTGTCTGATTTCCTAACTTAGTGACAATTTGTTGAAAATGTAATGAAAAAATTATTATAGCATAGCACCCAGAGTGCAATTAATTAGTACAACCCCAACAATATGCATCTTACTATACACTAGCTACATTTGAAACAACCTAAGGAAATTAACTATCCTATATGCATGTACATTTTCACTTTTACATAAAATTATTACGAGAGCTAAATGACAATTTTGAAGGCCAAGTAGAGACGGAGCCGTACAGATGGGACCTCCAGATGGTAGTTAACCTTTTGCTGTCTCCTTTGACAAGGTAAATGTGGATACTAATCTGGTGCTGCTCTTTCCCTCAATTGAAAGTAAAATGACGAGCTTCTCCACTCCAATGAAAGACATATGACGAGTAAAGGAGCATCAGGTCTTATTGGGATATTTTTTCAAGCAGCACATAGTTTCAGCTGGCAGATGGATGGAGATAAGTTTTTGGGATAATGCTTGGTTGGGTCATGGCCAGATGGGTTCAGTATTGTCTCTATTAATGAATATTAAAGTCTATGCTTACTACAATTTTATTCATAGATTGGATTAAAGCGGACAGAAAAAACTTTGGCCTTCCAGAAATAATTCAAGAAGACGATGATGCATATAACGAAATATTATCTACTGGAGATGGCGAGGACGCAGAAGGACAAGTGCTACCAATTCCAGGCAAAGAACGACGAAAATTTATTTAACAATTACATAAATCGTTCAAAAGAAATATGTAATTTTATTTTTACAAGTGTTGAAATACAAATATTAGAAATCTATAGTTTACATTGCATTAAATAAAACAAAAGGCTTTTCATAGTCTTGAATTTTCATCCATTAGAGTTTGTTTGTATTTAAATATAATATTTTTTAAAAAATTTTAAAATTTTAATTTTAAAAATACCCCCAAGTAACCCCCGAGGACCGGTAGAGGTACTGGTACGATACCAAGAAAAATACCCTTACCCTGTATCCTTAAATCCTCGTAACCGAAGTCCCCTTAAGGAACCCCCCTACCGCCCCCGTACCTAGTCCCCTTAAGAACCCAGCACCCTCCCTTAGCCATCCCTAGTTTGCACACACTTCATTGACCAATCACACACTTTCGGTGCTCAATTAGTTTCTTATTTTAACTATTCCGACTATCCTGAAAAGAATGATGATTAAGACTACCAGGGTTAAGCATCTAAACTTTTGTGTGAATTCAAATCCCCTTCATGTATTTCTCTTAAAATAACTTTTACATTATTAGCAACTGCACAGACCATTAAAAGATCTAAAATTTAATTTCAACAACAGTTAACACAGCATTTTGCTTGGCTTCTTCATTACTGTCTTTTCTTTTAAATTATACTCAGTGTTATCAAAGGGGAAAAGCGCAAAAAAGCTCCAAGGTCTATTGGGGCTTTAAGCGCAAATCGAAAATAAAGCGTGGGCTTTAATGAAGAAAAGCGCAAATGGAGAAAAACTTCAAATATGTATGTGTAGTCCAAGAGTAATATCTATAAGCATGAATACCCAATACATGGACATAGAGATTGAGGAAAATTTATGATAAAGTGAAATATCAATTGTTTAGTGTCGCCTCTTCAGGATTACGCTCATTGGAAAGGAAAAGTATGTCTTAAAGCCTTGATGAGAACCCTGAAGCGCCCGCTAAGCAAGGCGAAGCGCTTAACATGTTTTGAGCCTCGCTTCAGGGCTTAAGCACGCTTTAAGTGCGCCTTTGATAACAATGATTATACTGTGACTATGCTTTTTCTGAGCCAAGGGTCTACCAAAAACAGTCTCTCTAAAGGTAGGGGTAAGGTCTGCGTACACACTATCCTCCCCGGACTCCACTTTGCAAGATTACGGGTTTGTTGCTGTTATTGTTGCAAAACACAGCATTTGATAAGAAAGCTAAACTAAGACAGGTGAATGACAACGAAACAGGAAAATGTATGTTAAAAACCGTACTTTAGCACTGTCATTGGTGTTCTTGAGCTGTCTATTCCATTAGTCCTCGCACTCAACTACCCAAAAACAGTGATAAACATTTAAGTTTTCCATGTGAATTCGGTGTCATTTTTTAATCCTTATAAAATTAAATCTATCTAATCAGAAACTAAATAGAACATACTGTTAATCACGTGAGATTGTAAAAAATTAGGGTTTTAGAGTATAAGAAACATAAAAAAGGCATAAACGAAAAGTTAAACTAAAACAAGATCATTTTCTCAGGAGGTAAGGTCCATGTCCCCTCCATTGTACGTAATCTTTTTTTGTGGGAATAGACATGGTAGGGGTCTCGCCAACNCATGTAGAAGCTTCACCGGTATGCCTAAGCTTCGACTCATCTTTCTCTCCTTAGTCTGCCAAAAACGTAATGCTGTTGGCTAGCTTGTAGTTTGTAGAACCCACGACGACTGTGACGCACTCTGAAGAAATCAAACAAACCCAAGTACCGCGAACCTGATAAAACTTAGGGCAAAGACTTCCGGGTCCTCTGCCAATGGATCAAGTTTGATCTAAACGGGTCGAGTTTGATTGCGTAGGTTTTATTTGTTTTCTTTTCTTTTCTTTTCTTTTCTTTTTTAGTTGAGGAATATATTTGGCATCTATTTAGAAGAATCTATGCAATATTAAAAGCTCTTGTACGGGTCATGTAAGGGTCCAAATTTGGCCACCACGACACCAGATAAGCAAGACATGGAACGAGGTCACCACAACACAACGACCGATGTCGTTGTGACAAAGGACGACAATCAAGAGCGGGCAGCCGAAATAAGATAGTAACGGTAGTCTAAACTTAGAAAGAGACGGGAGGAATATGTCTTTTGAATATTCTTTATGTTGTACTTTTTTAGGGTTTTTTGAAAAAATGTCCCTTATAAATAGGAGGAGTTAGTAAACAAGAGGGGACTGCCACTTTGAAAGAAGAGAGAGCACATTGTAAAAATGAGAGAAGAATATACGAAAGAATTGTCTTACTCATTTTACTCAAGCACATGTTGTTTAACTTTCATCCATAAATTTCTGGATTTCACATTCATATCGGTTGCATATCGTTCACGTCATCAGAAAGAGGAGGCATCCAATCACACAATCATTGGGTGACAGTCCCTTTATATTTTGACCATTATCATTTCTTGCATTCATTGCATTTTCAGGTTATTATATATTTTGCTAATCTTAACGCCTCGAGTATATCACTTAACGCTTCTAAACCGTTCTCATTATAGTAGAATTTCGTTCCATTTGATCTAGAAATTATTGAGTTCAACTGAGATTCACTCCATTAGTTTGTTATTAATTAGTTTAGCAATTATTTGCTCAAACAATTTGGCGTCGTCTGTGGGGAGTTCTCTAGTTGAAACTATAGTTCTTTCTAGATCACAAAAAAACATTATCTTCCTCATTTGCACTGCTAACAATGGCAGGAAAAGGAGATGCGAGGTTGAGAACGATAGCAGGTGATGCTACCAACATCTTGAACACAATCAACGTGGCAGGGAAAACGATGAAAACGCGACACCGATTGCTACACCCAGACGGAGTGCTTCCCCCCTCCCCCATCCGCGAGAGCGTAACTGCTTCACGCGAAAAGGGAGCCTCCACATCAACAATAGAGGAAGTACCACCAGCATTAAAAAGACTACTGGAAGAGTGGCTAACAAGCACTCTGAACAACATACTCGATAAACCTGTCCCAAGGGAGAACAGAGATACTACACATATAGACATTATG